GGGGCCTGCCTCCCGGTCACCTCCCCCCCCGACCCCCTCGCGCTGCTCACCTGTCGCTGTCCAAGGGTGGGCCGGGCGTGGAGGAAAAGGGGGAGGAGAGCCCGAGAGCCAGGCTCACCTGGGGGGAGCAAGGGGGCTCCTTTGCCCTGGATCCTGAGCCTAGAAGAGGCCTCCCCCCCCCGGAGAAACTGAGCACCCTGTCCCTTATCCTCCCGGTCACCTCCCCCCCCGACCCCCTCGCGCTGCTCACCTGTCGCTGTCCAAGGGTGGGCCGGGCGTGGAGGAAAAGGGGGAGGAGAGCCCGAGAGCCAGGCTCACCTGGGGGGAGCAAGGGGGCTCCTTTGCCCTGGATCCTGAGCCTAGAAGAGGCCTCCCCCCCCCGGAGAAACTGAGCACCCTGTCCCTTATCGGCTAGGGCCCTGGAATGCCCAGACCATTTCCCTGCATGCGGTCAGTCCCCTCCTGCCCCCTTTGTCTCCCCATGGAGCTCAGGTGGCTCAGGGGGGCCTCAAGGGGACCCTGAGCTGAGCACCGAGGGAGGTGTGCTTTTGCTGGCAGGGGCCAAATGCTGCACAAGGGAGGAGCAGGAGGGGCAGCCGAAGGAGAGGCGGCTGCTGGCATGGGGGCCACGGGTGGGAGGAACCGTCTCTAGGGAGGAAGGCAAGGGGGGAGGGGGTAGCAGGTAGGAACGGAGGGCCCTGGTGGGCCCGGAGGGGTCTCGGACGCGGGTGCTAACCTCGAACGGCTTCCATCCAGCCCCGGCAGAATCTCCTGCAAGCCGCCGGTGCCGTGGGGCAGACCAGTGGGGAGTTGCTGCAGCAGATTGGGGAGAGCGACACTGACCCCCATTTCCAGGTGAGTGCCGTGGTTGGCCATGGCTCGCTAGGCCCCCCAGGGCCGGAGCTGGGACTCTGGAGAGGGCTCCTCCTCAAGAGGAGCAGGGGTGGGGGAAGAGGGGCCGAAGTGGGGCCCGGGGCCCATGGAGCCACACCTCAGCGTGGGACTGGCGGGGTGGAGGGCGGAGCCTTGGGCCCTGTAACCTCTTTTGTGTTGCCGGTTCACATGCAGATGGCAGAGAGCCAGCGCCCCCGGACCCTCTCCGCCCCTGACCCAAAGACGGTAACGGGCCCTGTGCTGCCCTCCCCCCTGCCTCCCCCCCTCTCACTTCCTCTTCTTGGCTTCCCATTGGGGGGCTTTGCTGACCCTGGAGCAGAACAGGAAGGGCAGAGGGCTTCCCTTCTCCAGCCGGGCTCCTGCTGGGCTCCCTCTGCTGCAGCATCTGGTGCGGCCCTTCCTCCTTGCACACCGATTCTCCCCCCCCCCGCCGCC